CGTGTCACTTCATCTGTGTGACTTCATCTGAGGCTTTCTGTTTCTCTTTCCCCCGCGCTCAGGGCAAGGAGGGCACGCGTACCTGCGGGAATGGCTGTGGTGGGCAGGGCTGCTGTGCAGTAAGTACCCACGCTCACCCTGGGTAAGACACACTCGGGACAGCGTAAATCGTGGAAGGGACCCTTAAAGACCACGAGCAGGGACACCTTCCGCTAGACCAGGCTGCTCCAAGCCCCGTCCAGCCTGGCCTTGGGCACTCCCAGGGATAAGCCAGCATCTCTGGGAAACCTGTGCCAGGGCCTCGCTGCTCTCACAGTAAAGGATTTCTCCCTAAGTATCTAATTTTAACCTACTCTCTGCCTGTTGGAAGCCATTCCCCCATATCCTGTCATGCCCTTATAAACAGTCTCTCCCCAGCTCTCTTCAGGTACTGGAAGGCCACAAATAGGTCACCCCAGAGCCTGCTCTTTTGAGACTGTTGATGGTTATTTCCAGTCACTTCCATGTTTTATGATGATGATCACTGTCTGCTTGATTTTCATCCGAGTGCCTGAGGATGATGTTGATCTAATTTTAACTTTAAAATATCCTAAAGTCTTGTGCATTACCAGGTTCCTCTGCTAAGCAGGAGCTGAGGAGCTGGTCTGGCTGGGTTGGATTGAGTGCTTCTGAAGTGGCCTGCCCAGAGGATGTAGTGATAACAGAACACCCAGCACTGTTCGATGCTACAGCAATTTCAGCAGCTCCACTTTACACTTTTCAATGTTAAGAACCGACTGTACTTGATTTACCCTTTAAAAAGCTGTAAAAGCTGTTCCAGGAGAAGAAAACATCTTAGAAATACAAACTCCTTTCAGCTTTGTGGCTGTTGTGGCAATAGTTTCCTGTGGTTGCTGCTTGCTGTATAGGCACTTGTGACTAAGGATCACCACACATCACACTGAGCCTTCCCTTCCCAAGAGAACCTGTTGGGGCTTCTGGTTGTTCTTGCTGGTGCTGTTCTTTCCTGGTTGCATGACATACCTCAGAGAAACACAGGATGCTCAGGTGGAAACTGAGGCTTTTCTGACTATACCCAAACTTGTATTATGGTGAATTGCTCCTGCTTTGATGCTCACCCAACAGAATTTCTCTTGCAGTGGGAGTTGGAGAAGCTGCAAACTTTGCTGCCTATGCCTTTGCCCCTGCAACTCTGGTAACTCCACTGGGTGCTCTAAGTGTCCTTGTTAGGTAAGCAGCCTCAGAAACACCCTCACCTCCCCTACTACCCCTAAGTGATGAAAGCAGTTGCTCTGTTTTCCTCCCTCTCTTCCCTCAGGTACTCCCACCTCTTGCCTTAATTAGTTTAAATTTTTTTTTTTTTTTTTTTTTACTATCTTTCAGTGCAGTTCTATCTTCCACCTTCCTCAACGAGCAGCTGAATGTTCATGGGAAGATTGGCTGCGTCCTGAGTATCCTGGGCTCCACTGTGATGGTGATCCACGCTCCGCAGGAAGAGGAGGTTTCCAGCCTGCAGTCAATGGCGGAGAAGCTGAAAGATCCAGGTACGAAAATAAAAGGGGTCCTGTTCAACTTCAGGCTTGGAACCGACGGTAGAAGGTGGGACACGACTTGGCTGGATTAGTAAGGACTGAACTAAATGGTAACGGAGCTGTTTCTTGTCCTGCAGACCCAACTGGAATCATCAGCAGTTACCACGTGGGCTTTTTTTAGACTGTCTATGAGGTGTAGATGCAAAAAGTGAAGAGCAGGAGAATTAGGTGCAGCTGCCAGCAGAAGGGGTTGGCCAGCGGCAGTGCCAGGATAGGATAGGGAATTCCTGGACGCCAGAGTGGCAGTGGTGTGGCTGAGGGAAGGCAGAGGAGGACCTTCAGGGAAAGGTGAATGAATTCAATGAGTTACATCCAAGAGCAGGTAGTCCTGGTGCTTATGTCAGAGGGTAAATCAAGTTGCAAGGATATGATGTGGGCAATAGCACACATGGCAGAATAAGCCACAAGGGATGGAGGAAGGAAGCACAGGTGGAAGAGCAAAGCAGAGTTAACAGGTAGGTTCTGCTGCTCATTAGAAGGAACATTCTGGCAGGGCCTTGCACTCCTGTCATGTGGCACTTTTCCTTTTTATCACACCACAGTCCCCAGAGTTCAGCCAGGGCTTCCCAAGCCTTCTGCCCCTCTCCTGGGCTTCCTGCAGAGCTGGTCAATAAGCCTCCCACCTCTGCTAGTGCCCTGGAGCCTGGCTGTGCCCCTGCCACTCCCAGCACGGGCTGTATCTGACAGCCTGACTTGTGATTGCGCTGTAAAGAGCTGCTGCTGGCTCTTCAGCTTTGCTCTGGCTGCAGACTGACTCTGCTTCCCAACCCCAGTCCCTTCAGATGGAGGCCAAAAAGACAGACTGATGGGGCAGTTACCCTGTCCTCTGCCTCTGCTTGCTGTCCAGTTACATCTCTAACTGTGTTCTGACAGAGCTCTTTCATTCTCTCCCCAAGGATTCATTGCATTTGCTGTGTGTGTCCTGGTGAGCTCCCTCCTGCTTATCTTCGTGGCTGGACCCCGTTATGGACAGAGCAACGTGCTGGTTTATGTTTTGGTCTGCTCTGCCATTGGCTCACTGTCTGTATCCTGTGTCAAAGGCCTGGGCATTGCCCTGAAAGAACTGTTTTCTGGGAAGCCAGTCCTGAAAGAGCCACTGGGCTGGGTGCTCCTGGTGTGCCTGGTGATCTGCATCAGCATCCAGATCAACTACCTGAACAAGGCCTTGGACATTTTCAACACATCTGTGGTCACACCTGTTTACTACGTGCTGTTCACCACGGCAGTCATGACGTGCTCCACCATCCTCTTCAAGGAGTGGCAGCACATGGTGCTGGACAACATTGTGGGCTCCATCAGCGGCTTCCTCACCATCGTGTCCGGCATCTTCCTCCTGCACGCCTTCAGGGACATGCCCTTCACCCCCAGCCTCCTGCCCCTCTTCCTGCAGCCCGGCAGGGCAGACCTACATCCCCCATGGAGCAGTGCAGACAGACACCAGTCCTGTCAGCACCAGCCTCTGCTGCCCTCAGAGGACAAAGGCTCTCAGAGCACAGAGGAGGAGGAGGAGGAGGAGGTGGAGGAGGAGAAGTGAAAGCGTGTGAGGATGTCTGTGAACTGCTGGCTTTCTGCTCCCACTGCCAAGGCTGAACGTGCTGCCTCAGCTGCTGCTGCACTAGCAGGGCCTGGCAGTCACCCTCTGCCTGTCCCAGGTGCCACATGGGTGACGTGCCACTGGCAGGAGGCTGGCAGGGCCAGCAGCCTCCTGTGGCTCCAGACAGGAGCCCTGGGAAGCGCCCAGTTCCTCGGATCCTGCGCTTCCTCACTGTTCTTTTACGTGAAGAATTGATCCGCCCTCCTCAGGACCCAGAACCTGGCTGTGCAGACACTTGCAGCACTAACACAGTGCTAACCCTGCATGGCAGACCACTCGTCTGGGGAGGCCTCACAGCGTTCTATAAAAACAGGATTAACAGCTTCAAACTGATCTAACATGGTGCTAAGGGTAGTTACACAGAGAGAAGATGGGTGTCTGGCTTGAAAAGTGACACACGCGGAACAGTAATTAAAGATTCCTCTGCCCAGTACTTGTTTTGCTCACTCTGCTAGAATTTATTTACAGATTCACATCCAAGAACAGAACACAGCCCAAAGTGGGACACTTCAGTGGTGCTGCCACACGCTGATGTGGCTCTTCAGAGGGACCAACCTCTTCATGCAGCATCTGCTGTGCAGGCCGATGAAGCACCTGCTTACTGTGTTCTATTAAAATCTGATCTGTTCAGTTCCCCAAGTGGTGAGTGATACGTTTGTACCAAAAGCTGGGCCAGCTGAAAGGTGTGAAGAATCACAGGGGTAGGAAGAACTCTGCGGATGCTCCAGGGAAATTCAAGTTAGAACAGGAGAGGGAACCACTTACTCTGGGAATTCAGTCCTTAGCTATTGAGGTAACTTTCTGCAAGATAACCAGACAGCTGTGCCCTCACTGATGCGGGTGCATGTCAGCACAGCTGTTTAACGCATCCTGACTTTGTTCCCAGGAAGGCTTGCTGGCTACGAGCCCCTCCTGCAGCGGGATGTGAGCAGAACTGCTCCACCAGGCTCCTGTGCAGAGCTCCAGGCCACTGTCATTGTCACCCCAGGCTTCCCAGAGCCACTCTGCACCTGAACACTGCTGACACGCTGTGCTGCCTTCCTGAGAGCGGATCAGTTGTTGGTTGTTTTTCCAGTTAGAAGCCCCTCTCTGTGTCCTGGGGGCAGAGGTCCACAAGGCACACCCACAGGCCTCCCACCAGTGGCCTCCACGGGTAAAAGTGCACGAGGTGATAAAGCAGCTGGTTAGTTATTTCCTGCCTTCAGTCTCTCTAAAGAAACTACGGGACAGCAGGAGCTGTTAAACCTTTAGGGAAGAAGGGGAAAGGCCACAGAGTCTCCCAGAAACAGGTTTGATTCATGGGACCAAGTTAATTCAGCAACAAATCACAATTCAGAAAAAAAATGCTTCTAGCCAGAAGACAATTATGCCCTCTTCCTACTAACTTTACAGCAAACAGGATCACTGGGATGGAGGGGGAGTGACAAGAAGGCCAGATTTTCCACTCTCAGCCATGATCCACCTGAACAAAGGAGAATCTCATGTTAAAAATTGACCCAGTTATTATTTATTACATTTACCCAGGGAAAGCAGTTAATGGAGCAAGTCAGCATCGACAGAGTTGTGCTGCAGTGTGAAAATTGGTCACTTGGGCGTACGAATGATTTACCTACAGAAGCCTGGCAGTGTTTTCCAGCGGTGACACTGCCTGGGATGATCAGTGTTCCCAAGGAGCTCTTCTGGCTCAGGTGGCTGTCCCAGCCTGGCATGGGGGCCGGGGGATGTCAGCACCTTCCCGGGAGGGCTCACCCAGAGCCCAGCGTCACATCAGCACTGGAAACACCACGGAATGAGCATCACCACCCCTCTCCTCGGCCGAGGGGGCGCGTCCCAAGCGCAGGGTCCCAGCGCAAAGGCGGGCACCGGGACGTCACCCCGGCGTGGAGCGTCCGTGTGTCTGCTGCGGGCTCTCATCTGGCTGCAGCTTCCCCGAGACTGGCGTTTAATTAAATCCTAACCCCCCGAGCTGATCCTGGCTCCTCTGGGGGAGTGGGCCTGGCGGGGCTGGGTCCGGCTCAGTCGGACAGGCTCTCCGAGAAGGCCGACTTGGACTTCTGCGTCTGCTCCAGCCGGTTCAGGATGAACTGGCTGGTGTCGATGAAACGCTCCACGCAGTTCACGAAGCACGTCTCGGCCCGGCTGTCCAGCTTCGGGCCTGGCTTGTCCATGCACTTCTCCTGCACACAGTGGGGGCCCCGTTGGTCCCGGGGGCACCAGCCCGACCATGACACCCCCTGCCCGCCGCCCCTGCACTGGGGCCGTGCCCCCGGGCATCTCCAGCCCTCGGACACGATGGTGCCACCCCCCACTCGGGATCCTCATCCTCCCGGGATCATCTCCTCGGGGTCCTCATCCCCTGGGGGTCCCCAATACTCTCAGATCATCATCTCCTGGGGATCTTCATCCCCTCGGGGTCCTCATCCCCTAGGAATCCCCATCCCCTGGAGACCCTCATCCCCCCGGGATCCTCATGCTCTCGGGCGCATCTGACCCCTCCCCACCCGGGGTTCCCCCACCCCGTTCCCTCCCTCCCTCCCCGTGCTCAGCGGGCCCGGAACCGCTCCCACGGCGGCTCCACTGTGTCCCCATCAGCCTCCCCTTCCTGCCCTGGGGGACACAGTCCTCCTGCCCCCCCCCCCTCCTCCCAGCGTGGCCGTGTCCCCGGCGGCGCCCGCGCCCCGCCCGTACCCAGCACAGCTCGGTCATCTGGTGCACCAGCTGCTGGAAGCGCTGCTTCTGCGTCTCCACCTCGATGAAGCGCTGGAGCTGCGGGTCGGCGCCGCCCAGCCCGGCGCCGGACGGCGGGTCCATGGCGGTGCCGGAGCCCCGCGGTGTCCCCCCGGTGTCCCCCCCCGGTCCCTCCCGGTGCCGCCGCGCCGCGACCTTCACGTGCCGCCGGTGCCGCGCCCGCCCCTTCCGCCCGCGCCACGCCTGCGCCCCGCGCCGCGAGCGCCCCCTGCCGGCCGGGAGGACCCGCGAGCCCGGACGGGATGGGGGAGTTTATTGTCCGTGAGCGGGGGTAGAGTGGGATGGGGCCCGGGGGTGATGGATGGAGCTCCGGGGGTGGGATGGAGCTCCAGGGATGCGACACAGTTCTGGAGATGTCGTGGAGCTCCAGGGATGTGATGGAGTTCTGGAGATGTGGTGGAGCTCCGGGGATGTGACGGAGTTCTGGGGATGTGGTGGACCTCCGGGGATGTGACGGAGTTCTGGGGATGTGATGGAGCTCCGGGGATGTGACGGAGTTCTGGGGATGTGATGGAGCTCCGGGGATGTGGTGCTGCTCCAGGGTGGTGATGGAGTTCCAGGGTGGTGATGGAGCTCTGGAAATGTTACGGAGCATTAGGGTGGTGATGGAGCTCTGGAAATGTTATGGAGCTCCAGGGTGGTGATGGAGCTCTGGAAATGTTATGGAGCTCTGGGGCGGTGATGGAGCTCTGGGGCAGTGATGGAGCTCTGAGGCAGTGATGGAGCTCCATGGCTCTCCGTGGGCTCCCCTGGTCCCCCCGTGCTGTGTCCGTGACAGCAGTGCCGCCTGGCGCGCGGGTGTGTCCGGGCGGGCAGTGCCAGCGCTGGGCAGGGCTGTGCGGGCGGTGCCCGCGGTCAGCACTCCTCGTCGGCGATGTCCAGGATGCTGCTCAGCAGTGTGGTGAAGGTGGGGCGCTCCTCAGCCTTCTGCTGGGCAGGAGGGGAGTGGTGATGGAGCGGTGATGGAGCCACGTGTGCCCCTGCGCCCCAGGGAGCCCCGTCACCCCTCCGGGGTGGCTGGAGGGGTCTCTGGGGGTGGGACCCACTCACCTCGTGCCAGCAGCTGTACATGATGGCGTAGACCCGCTCCGAGGCCGCCTGTGGCCGGTACAGCCGCAGGCCTTGGATGACGTGCTCCGTTGTCTCACTGTTGTTAAACCTCTCGTAAGGCATCTTCCCCAGGGAGTAAACTTCCCACATCAGAACGCCTATTGGAGGGGATGGCAGGGAGAGCTCTCATGGCGCGGGAGCACCCGTGCCTGACCCTGGTTCGCAGGGTGGTTCGCTGCTCTTGGCAGTGCTCTTCCCGACCTCCAGGTCATTAATTCCGTGCTCTTACCAAAGGACCAGACGTCAGACTTGCTGCTGAACTTGCTGTACAGAAGCACCTCAGGAGGAGACCACCGCACTGGAAACTTGGACCCCATGGAGCTTGTGTACTCGTCATCCAGAACGTACCTGCAGCAGATAAAGGGAGCGAGGTGGTGCCTGGCTTGGTTTTCCCATTTCACTCCTCCACGCAACCCACCGAGCCCGAAAGGAATGGGTGAAAGCTCTCAGAGTGAGCAGGGGTTGCACTCAGCATGGGTTTCAGCAGGCAAAAATCCCCCCCTTTGCAAACAAGTGTGTGTTAGTGAAGACTGGGGAAGGGATAGGATGGCACACAGCAAAAAGGGGATGTGGAGAGAAAGCTGCAGCCAGGAGACTGGAGGTGGGGGGAAGAGGATGCCAGGAGGAGGGGGAAAGGGCTAGGGTAAGTAAGAAAGGGACAGAGGAAAGTGAAGAGGCGGAAGATTAGGCTGGACAGGAGAAGACAATGGGAAAGCAGAGCTGGAGGATGGTGGGAGCAAAGACTTAAGTGTAGAATAGGCTGAAGGAGGAGATGGGGGATTGAGATGCTGTGTCACAGAAAAGTGACACAGACACGTCTACCACACCTGGAAAGACCAAAATCTGATACTTTCACAATTCCTTGGTCATTCACCAAACAGTTTCGAGCAGCCTGTGGATGGAGAGATGGAGGCAGTTACTCCTACCTGCTATTGCCTCTCCCATCCCCCTGTACCAGCTGAACTTCATCTCATCCCCACCCACTTAACACTTCACCTCACTTTGTCCTGTAAGTTCACCTGGATGGGGGGCAAGCTACAAAGTCCTCAGCCAAGAGAGCAAAAGAGGCCTCCAAGCACACAGCCATACCAGGTCTCTGTGCAGGAACTGCTTGGATTCCAGGTACTCCATAGCTTCACAGACATCCTTGCACATCTCCAGCAGCTCGGCAGGCTGGAACCGCTGCCGAGTTTCCCTCAGGAAGTTCAGGAGGCAGCCGTTGGCCATGTACTCCGTGATGATGAAGATGGGACGCTGCTTAGTGCAGACCCCATAGAGCTGCACCAGCTTCTCGTGGGACAGGTTCCTGTGTTGGGGACAAGGGCAATTCTGAGCATCTAGAAGGCCAAGCAGCCAAGGAAGCACCTGTGAATAAGGAGAGTTTGGGAAGGGAAGGTGCTCCAGACCCAGCTGACGGTGGAAAAACTCACCAAGGAATCAGTGCAAAGTCAGTGGGTTCTCAGATGCATTTTTGCAGAGTGTGGGACTGCCCAGGACTGTCCCTGACACCAATCCAGGAGGGCAGCCGCTCTGGCAAGGTGTGCCCAGCACTGACCTGCCCTGTGCTCACCACTTACATCATGACTTTGGCTTCGTCGATAAACTCGTCCTCTGACATGGAGCCCTCCCTGATCATCTTGATGGCAACGTCGTACTGGCCCCTCCACTTCCCGTACTTCACCACTCCAAACTGCCCCGTCCCAAGTTCCTTCAGGAAGGTCAGGTCCTTGGGGTCGATCTCCCATGACCCTAGAACAGGGTGTGAGTGTAAGTGGTTGCAGGTGACCTCCTCACACGGCGCTCCCACTCATCTGCTCTAGCACGCCCGAGAAAAGCTCGTGAGCTTTTATTCCCCGAAAAACCATCCACAAAACCATCCACAGAACAATCTGAGACCTGTTCCTCCATGGGATGGGGAGCAAGGTAGATTGTGGGGTCTCTTGGTCAGTACTGTCACAAAAAGGCAAGGGAGTGTAGAGAAGTGATTCCTGGGAAGGCTTCCATGGGACAGCCAGGATCCCAGCCCAGGAAAATTGCTGCCGGTAGGGACAGACCCTGCAACCAGCCCAGGCTGGCTTACCATAGCCAAGGCCAGCTGTGGAAGGAGCACTTTTCTGGTGCTGGGACACGGGGTACTTCAGCCTGGATATGAGTCCTGAAAAACAAAAACATGGATTGCCACACTGGGCTTTACCTGCCACATTCCAACAGGGAACACGAGCCTCCTGCCCTCAGCGCAGGAAGGTGAGGGTACTGTGGTGTCAGTAAAAACACTGCTGGCTTCCCTGTGTCTCCCAGACACCGACCTGCAGAGTTGTGCTGGTGGTACGTGATGAGCTCTGGGATGCTGTTGAACAGGTGCTTTTCTGCCAGGTAATACTGGTTCTGGGGGGTGCAGCACACCACGTAGTGGCGGATCGTACCCTGGGGGTCTCTGCAGAGAGACAGCGTAGGGTCAGTGGCATGGGGAGGACAGGCAAAGGGCGAGGGGTGCCTGGGGGAGCCCTCCGAGGGAGGAACAAGCTGTTGTGAGATCCACTTACGCAGAGGACTTGGCATAGACGGAGACAGTGTATTTCCCTGTCTTGCTGGTGGAGTCTCGGACGATGAAGCCCCCTTCCTTACCCTGAAACAGAAGGGGGAAAGGGCACTGGGTGGTTGTTGGGAGATGTGACTGTAACAGGCAAGACTTGAAGTGACTGAAGATCACAGCATGGTTGTGAGTCAGAGGAGTCCTAAATCCAGTCCCTGCCTCTGGGGACACCTCCTGAAGTGGCTGCCTGCAGGAGGTCATGTTGGGATAGAGATGGTTCTTTGGGCTCTTGGGGCAACACTCCCTCCCAGCACAAGCCAGGGTTCGTCCCATGCTGGACACAATGTGAGAACAGCCCCTGGAGGCCTGGTGTGTAGAACAGACCCAGCCTCAGGAGGCAACACTTACCTCCTGTTTCAGCAGTTGCTCTGCTTGGCTCCGAGTGATATTCTTTGAGTACCACCTGGAACAGGGACACAGCCATCAGGGAAATCCCAGCCACCACTGGCCCCCAGCCCGGTCGGGCCCCAGCCCAGCCAAGACAGGTGGTGCAGAGAGCACCATGGGGCTGCCACGGGGCTGGAGGCTTCCAAAGGGTGTGTGAGAGGGAGAGGGACCCAGCCAGGCTGGGGGTAGCAGAACCGAGGATGGAAAAACTGAATGGACAAAGTCCCCAACCAAGTGCAATTCAACAGGGCCCTGTGCCTTCTCTTACTCAAAGATCTCCAGGGAATTGCTGGTTTCAGTGACGTAGTTGCTGGGGATGTATCCTTCCCTCCTGCAGGAGGAAAGGGGCTGGTTACACACTGGCCGAGGGGATGCAGTGTTTCTGTCCCAGGAGGCCAAGTAGAAATGGGCTCAAAAACCTTGGTGCAAACTCATCTTTGTTCATGTCTGGGGAGGGCTGATGGCCCAGCCTGCTTCAGCCTCCGTCACCCTCCTCCCTGGGGAGGCCACAGGTGGGCAGGCAGGGATGTGTTTGCCCACCAGTGCAAGGGGGGCTCTTACCCGTTCTTGTCAAGGGCTTTCCACCAGGGCAGGTGGCTCTCCTCCAGGATGAAGTACTCCTCGCCCTTCTGCAGCTGCAGGTCCTGCGCGTTCATCGGCTGGTAGTTGTAGAGGGCCACCACCTTCTTCATCTCACCCGCCGTGCTGGGGGCCGGTTCGCGAGGCAGAGGCTTCATCACCATCTTCCCAGAGAGAGGGGGAGTGTGGGATGTGGTGAGGCTGGCAGACACACCGGGAGAGACCCTCCCCAGGGGGTTCAGGCCAGCTCAGCACAGCGTTGGTCTCAGCTCCCACATGTGTCTCCTTCAGCGCTTTTTATCACAATGTTTCTTCATGTCTTCACAAAAGGTGTTTTCTCCCTACCTTTTGGCTTAACCCATGACTCCTCCAGCCCACATTAGGGCTTTATCCTCCCAGCTCCCCCAGGGAACCTCAGAGTTGA